GGGCGTCCCCCACAGTTGTGATCATCAAGAACAACGGAGAAGACATAAGGCTGTGGATTATTTACAGGCGGGTAAACCAGCTGACTTGGTTGATAGTATATTCTATGCCACTGATCAGTAATCTATTGAAAAACATGGATAAAGCTATGTGGTACTGCTCTCTAGACATGGAGAGTGGTTTTTAGGTAGTGGAGATGACGAAAAGAGCTGGGGTGATATTCGCCTTAATTACACCCTCAGGGTTGTTTAAGCGGTAAAGGATGCCTTTCGGGTAAAATGATGCTCCACAGATTTACCAAAGTTTGATCGATAACGCTCTGTATGTGCATTTGTAAATCGACGTAAAATCTGAATCGACCACGGAGGAATGGCCGAAGTTGATCGAAGTCTTCACTGGTACTGAACCAGATACTGATACAAAACCATCAGAGTTGCGTCAAAGATCTTATATTAATGACATATTAGATACCAGCTACGTCGTGGAAGTGTAACGGGGTAGCCAGTTACATGATTTTTACACCAAACGGTGTCAATAGGGATATTGTCTGGCATGACAATATCCTACCAATATTATCCGAGATGGATAATTTGAAGGAATTTTATTCCCTTTGTAGGATATTATTCATGCGCTGCTCAAAGATTGGTTGATAAAGACGTATCAACCAAGGTTACCACCAATCGCTGCTAGACGCGCGCAATGAGTGATGAGCAGGTTGTCGTCATACGACGACGTAGTTGGACATAGTTAGATAAAGACTAAATAATATTAATAGCTCAACTAAGTCAATTGCATCTCTCTCTTACCCTTTACTCAACCTAGCTGTTGAGTAGATTAGCTTCCTCTGCATGTACTAGTGTACGTGAAGTTTCGTGGCACCCCAAACATAGGGTGCCCCGTAACAGGAATGCCCTGTTTGAGAATGCGAAGAGATTGGAGGTGTGTGAAAGTTAAATTTGTCCAGTGTTTGGCCAAACGTTTTTGGGGGCGTCAAAAACAAAAATACCTGGAACAGCAAATCTTGCTTGCAGGATTGGAAGCTAATCCGAAAGATCTGGGCTCGTTTGTGAATAGCACGTTCCTCGGACGCTGCGACCGATGCAGTCATTTTCAAGAAGTCTCAACTATTACAGTAGATTCATTAAAGACTTCGCAGTTTACGCATCAGTGTTGTACGAGAGGCGTGAGCATGTTTCCGTGAGATCAACCGCGTGAGTGAATTTCCAAAACCTATTTTTTTGCAAGACCTGATGCTTTTACGACGGTAGTGTAGGGGTAGATCGTGATCGGTGCCCGAAACATGAGATCGATGTCAATTGGCATCAAATCGCAGGGGACAATTGCGCTCCCGAGGGAAGTAATTAATGGGAGAAGGCAGTGATCGCATTCACCTTGACAAAAGTTTAAATATCCACAACTGCAATCTTAAAGCATTTCGATCCCGATCGATCGACTGTGATTGCGGTGTATGCTAGCAAGTGGGCTGTATCAGCTGCTTTGCTACAAGAATATAACGGTGTATTTTGGCCTGTCACTTTCTCGAATCGTACGCCAAAGCCCAACGAGGTCAACTATGGGATAGTGGAGGAAGAAGTGTTGGCTCTCCTCCGGATGCTGGATGCCTGCTATATTATGCTATATCCCGTGAGGTTACGGCGCTTACGCGATATTCGACACTAGCACGGCCACTACAACCTTCAGGAATCAACAGATGATTGAGAAGATGGGATGCTTTACTAGTCAAGGTAATTGATATAAAATTAGGCGATCTGATTAGAGATAAGGTAAAGTATTCGGCATGTTTGCGGCAAGTACTGATTGCGGTCGACCCGAGGAAGCAGCCAAGACAGATGATAAGCCAGCCCCCACCCACCGTAGGTGTTATGAAAACCTGCTGTTAGCCAGTTTCGATGGATCAGCCAGGGTGAAAAGAAAGGGCGGAGCATACAGCGCAATTACAAGATCAAATAACACGACAAAATTTTTGAATTTCGGATTACTGCGATCAAATTAACAGCAACGAGATTGAACATTAAGCTGACAAGATTGAGTCAAGATACCAAGATAGGTACGCATGAGGTGTTCAAATTCGGGAAGATGACCGACAATTAGCAGGTATCACAGTCTTCGATTGATCGACGATCAGGTGATTAAAGATGGATCAGCAGATGATCAGACAAGAAAATCGACGACCGCCCGAGGAGATAGACAATCGGGGAGATCGACAATAAACTGATGATATAGACTGTTGGTCAAGAAGATTAAAATAAAACAAGGAGATCGACGGTCGGTCAATGAGATTAAAGACCAACCGAGGAGATTGATAGTCAACTGAGGAGATCAACGATCAATCTATGAGATATACAATTGTTCATTGAGGTTAAGGTCACTCAAGGCGATTGATAGTCAACCGAGGAGATCAAAGATTACCCAATGAGATCGATGATCTATCTTAGGTGGACCACGTATGCGAAGGAACGATCAACTGAATTTTGAAGACACGTGATAGCATATCCTGGTGTACAGACAGGCGTATTCGCATTTAATTTTTTTTCGTTTGGTTGACATTAAGCATATATTCTATTTACTTCTAAGTACACTTGCTGACTCACGTGCCGAACTCCTTCCGGGCGTGAAATTTGGCCTTTCGATGTCAAGAAATCAGCACATAAAGAAACCAAATATGTCCACAGACAATTTGTAAAAGATCAAGAATTCTCAAGACAACCCCGACTGCTTCTGGATGCAGCAAGATCGTAAAAGACAAGTCGCAATATCTTGAGACGGCTCAAGTGGTTAGAAGACTCGCGTATCAAGCATCCACATAGTGTACAAGGCGATCTCGTTGAGATCAGGTGGCTTACATCAAGTAAATACGAGTATCCCGTAATCGTGTGAAGGTTTCTGCGCGATCACAAACCCCATCATCAACACGACCAAGTTTTCTCTCGACACACTTCCGCCCATACGAGTGCAGCCCGCCCTACCGACGGGTACACAAGGTGAAAGAGAATACAGGGCTCTAAGACGTGAACCTTCTCCGAAAGTCGGTCGTCTGGGCACCAGTGGAGCATCAAGATCGCCTCATATAATGGGACATCGCCACTCCACCACGATGGTGCGCGTGCCCGGATCTTTTGGTGACTAGGAACTTCACCGTGCGTCCCTGAATGAAGGTGAAAAGGTCAAACTTGAACTTGGAATGAAAGCGTAAATAGCAAAAGGATCACCGCAGACATGTGATTGTAAATGATCCCCGTATCTTTAGAGTTTTTGGGAGGAACTATTATGACAAGAAGATTAAAGAAGAGATCGATTTATCGATCTGGAAGAGAAACCTCGACCCCCTCCTGAGGTCCCTTCGGGTACCACCGCCGATCGTGCTTTGCAGCAAGATCCGCTGGGTGAAAAACCTTCAGCGAAAACTGAACATAACTACACAGGATCACTACGACAGTGTTGGAGAAGAAGATTGTGAAGGCGAATTGAGTGGAGAAAGAAGAGATCAGATCGGAACAACACGATCACAGTGTAAAATTAATCAGTCGACCAATCAAGTTCATGGACAATAACATCAAGATGAATGACTCGCAGATGGTCCAACTGGCGCAGGGAATTTACTGGAAGACGCTCAAAAATCAGCTAACAAGCGGTCCAGTGCTCCAGATATTGAAGCCCAAGCTGATCGGAGATTTCTAAGGTCTGATATCGTTAACGACGGTGGCAACTAACCCGCTAGACGGAATCAACGCGATCATCCAGCTACTACATGACGCTGAGTACGTTGCTGGAGTGTCCGACGCGAACAAAATGCTATAGTGCGATCAAGACCAGTTGATCCACGCGTGTTGATCGCTGTATAACGAGGTGATCCCTCTGACAGGTAAGCGCGCATCCACAGGTCAAGCTGCCGCTACGATCGCCGACGATTCGAGAGAATTCCGTATCGGACAGTCACAGTACGTCCTAGCTGGATCTGAAATGGAGTCGAATGGTTGAGTTGGTATTCAGTGGATATCTCTCGGCCCAAGTAGGGCAGCAAATCTACTCGATCAAGCTGAGACGATCAAGATTGAACCGCGATCAACGATCACATGCGCTACAGGAGAGATGATGTCAACTATACAAGTACACTGCGGACGTACCTCGATGAGACCATGGAACGTTTTCATCAAGATCAACGGGAACGATTGCATCAAGCGATTTAGCCGAGCCAAATGATCAAGTCGAAAAAAGTCCAAGAATTGCATACTCTAGAAGTTGAGGTGGAATTGGTTCGATCGCATCTCAGTCGATCTGACATTTCCGATCCCGAAGATGCCGATCCCAATGATTTCAGGCAAGAAAAGCAGCTACGTGCAGATGATAGCCACCGCAGAGACGCTGCAAAACGGTGGTGATATTATCTAACGCATTTGAGTGTCAGCGATTAAAGAACTGAAGGAATTTAGCGGCAAAGATCGAGACGAAGATCGGGTCAGAGGATTGGTTAGCAAGGTCAAGTCGGCGTTCCTGCGCTATCAGGCACCAGGTAAAGAAAAGTGTTTGGCATTCAGTGTTGTGTTGACGGGACGAGCGAGACTGATACAACCAGCTGAGCCGATCTACAGGGTACCACTGGAAACGATTGCTGTATTGTTTTATGATACAGTACGGAGGACAAGGTGAGTCAGTGGACAGACAGTGTTACCTCGCGCGGAAGCAATCCGATGAAACCCAGCTGGAGTTCTTGCATCGTCTTAATATCGCAACCAAGGATGGCCAAGATCGCGATTAAAGAAGAAAGACTGGCTACATTGGCTACGCATCGCGAGTATGTGGAACACTTCATTTCTACGCTAGACGATCACGATCTGGCAAAACAGCTGACCTTACTGCAACTGATGGATATTGATAAAATGGAAGAAACTCTCCGTGCGTGTCTAGGAATGGAAATCTTCAGATGTAACCGTCAATAAGATCAAACAAATTACATCAGCAAGAAATCACACCTGCAAATCCGATGGCGTCCAAGACGACTCGAGTGGTGCGGGCTATCCGCGAGAAAGTCAAGAGCAGCGTATCGGAACCGGGTCGATTGGATCCGAAGATGAAGTAGATCGTCGTTGTGTTTATTGTATTAACTACACCCAACCAGGATTAACCGAACAAGGATCATCGAACCTGGCAGAAGAACACTGGTGAAGGAGAAGGAAGTGATCGCAGTGAACGATCGAAGGTGTGTAACCTTTGTGGATCTACCATACAAGATGATTGAGGGTGCTGGAAGATGTTAACGTGCCATGAACGTGGTCGCAACGGACATCTCTGTGAAAAAAGTTTCTTTGTGTGTACAGTCTGCGGGTAGATACACGAGAGTGGCAGTGTTCATGGAAGAATTTTTCAATTTGGTCTGAAAGTGGTTCGTGCCTACGAATCATGATGGAATGTTTCCGCATAAGGTGGAGGAAATGTTAAACTAGAACGCTTGCCAGGTTGGAATCTGGCACGAGCCAAGCCTCCGGATATGTATTTATACGTCTGTTGAAGGACCACGGGGCTATCAGGAGGTTAACGATCGGATCGCTTATGTGCATAAAAATTCTACAATGGTCTTGTCAATATCATTTGTGAAGGGAGTGGATGATTACGCCCGATCTCCTGTGAAGATGAGCTCAACCTCGCGCCATGGGCATTTGTGTATATTGGAAATACCATACACCTGGGATATGGTTCAAGAAAGCAAAAGCGGTGGGCAAGATCAATAATGAGAAAGCACAATGCTGTTCGACTCCGGCGCTGAAGTGTCGATCCTCGATACTACTTTTGCGCGTCAGGTACGATGTGTGAACGATGACAGTCAAACACAAGAGTGTGTCGAAATTGGAGAGAACACGTATATGGCGGTGTGGCGCACGAATATTAAGATCACTTTGAGCGTATCGTTGGTTTATTGTTTCAACGTTGATGATCAAGTCGGACAAGAAGTCATATCATGTATGGATGGTTCCGGCAGGCATACGTTTCGCCCTGACGAGGTGCGAATCGGTTGGACAGCACGGAAGCCACATTATCGATCGCCCATACAGGCGATCAACCTGAATGATCAACATGTGGTCCAACCGGTTGGCACATCAACAGAAGTACGTATTAAGGGTGGCCCACCTAAGGCTAAGCTTTGTGTGAGGCGAGACGTGGCGCGGATGCCGACAGTCACTAGTGGGCCCGGCCAGATCAAGTATTCAAAGATCACGAATCTCAGTGTCCATGCTATTCATCTTGGCGGCGGCGTTTGAGAGTTTGTTGCAATGTTTCTACACTCGTCATCCACCCATTCGTTTGTACCGAATATCTGTCTCATGTTATATAGAGCTACCTGCTTCAAACAGTACGGGGTAGTCGAGCTCGCTCTATCCGAACTGCAAGTTGACGGCATCATTTTTGAGCGGTAACTACGCCTGAGCTGATAGGACGAAATAAACATTTGACGAGCAGTACGATTGGATGCACCAATGATTGGAGGTGGACATCGTAGCCGCGTGAGCAGAGTACGATCTGCTTTTTTAATTACTGTTCATTCTTCCTTCAACGTATCAAGGGGATTGCGCCATCCTTCCTGCCTTCTGCCAATCGCCGTAAACATTCTCGAAGGGCATCCACGCCACTCAGGCTAATTTGAGAATGAACAACAGGTACATTCGACGCACCCTCATGCGCCAGTGGGTGAGCAAAAGCCAGCGGTGTTTCTGATCACAACGTGCCACACCAACTTCGTTGAGATTACGTGAGCAGCTTCTTGTAGTATTGATGGCTACCCTTTCAATCCAAACTTGAAGCGTAGTATTTACGGCATCGTTTTTACGGTAATGACATCCGAGTTCATGATACGAGCAGCTTGATTGAAAGACCTACATGATTTATATGTAGAAAGCACATACGTCAGGGTGCAAGTAGAATAAACTCCGATGAATCAACACTTTTGAATCTACCTTCTCCTACTCGAGTCGCCTACACATCCTGTGAAGACTTCCTTCGTCCTCTTCAAGCTTCCTCAACAGAGTCACATACCAAGTGTCATTCACTAATGCTAACAAGACAAAGATTCTTTCATTGCACTCGTTGCCTTCACCACAATGTTTCAGTGGGCATTGGTCAATGCTCTCAAGCTGCATGAGCAGCGTGGATCTCTTCCATAGTAGTACGTACGCTTATGCTGGTACAGATATCTCCCCACGATGTGTACTCCAACTTACCGCTATCTGTGGAGTATCGAGATTCGCGCTTATTGCTGAAGTATCTATTTACCGGCCTTGACCGTAGCCGTCTTCTTTCTTTGTTGCTCGATATGGGCATTCATCAACACCTTTCAATGTAATGCACCCGCCGTCCCGTGATACTCAGACAGGTTCAACATAAAGCTATCTGACATCTTCGGATCACACGTATCAAGCAGATCGCCACGTCTTTCTCCATTTCGGTGTCCATGCTATTCATCTTGGCAGCGGCGTTTGAGAGTTTGTTGCAATGTTTCTACACTTGTCATCCACCCATTCGTTTGTACCGAATATCTGTCTCATGTTATATAGAGCTACCTGCTTCAAACCGTGCGGCGTAGTCGAGCTCGCTCTATCCGAACTGCAAGTTGACGGCATCATTTTTGAGCGGTAACTACGCCTGAGCTGATTGGACGAATCGAACATTTGACGAGCAGTACGATTGGATGCACCAATGATTGGAGGTGGACATCCTAGCCGCCTGAGCAGAGTACGATCTTCTTTTTTAATCACTGTTCATTCTTCCTTCAACGTATCAAAGGGATTGCGCCATCCTTCCTGCCTTCTGCCAATCGCCGTAAAAAATCTCGAAGGGCATCCACGCCACTCAGGCTAATTTGAGAATGAACAACAGGTACATTCGATGCACCCTCATGCGCCAGTGGGTGAGCGAAAGCCAGCGATGTTTCTGATCACAACGTGCCACACCAACTTCGTTGAGATTACGTGAGCAGCTTCTTGTAGTATTGATGGCTACCCTTTCAATCCAAACTTGAAGCGTAGTATTTACGGCATCGTTTTTACGGTAATGACATCCGAGTTCATGATACGAGCAGCTTGATTAAAAGACCTACATGATTTATATGTGGAAAGCACATACATCAGGGTGCAAGTAGAATAAACTCCGATGAATCAACACTTTTGAATCTACCTTCTCCTACTCGAGTCGCCTACACATCCTGTGAAGACTTCCTTCGTCCTCTTCAAGCTTCCTCAACAGAGTCACATACCAAGTGTCATTCACCTATATCAACAAGACAAAGATTCTCTCATTGCACTCGTTGCCTTCATCACATTGTTTCAGTGGGCATTGATCAATGCTCTCAAGCTGCATGAGCAGCGTGGATCTTTTCCATAGTAGTACGTACGCTTATGCTGGTACAGCTAGCTCCCCACGATGTGTACTCCAACTTACCGCTATCTGTGGAGTATCGAGATTCGCGCTTATTCCTGAAGTATCTATTTACCGGCCTTGACCGTAGCCGTCTTCTTTCTTTGTTGCTCGATATGGGCATTCATCAACACCTTTCAATGTAATGCACCCGCCGTCCCGTGATACTCAGCCAGGTTCAACATAAAGCTATCTGACATCTTCGGATCACACGGATCAAGCAGATCGCCACGTCTTTCTCCATTTCGGTGTCCATGCTATTCATCTTGGCGGCGGCGTTTGAGAGTTTGTTGCAATGTTTCTACACTTGTCATCCACCCATTCGTTTGTACCGAATATCTGTCTCATGTTATATAGAGCTACCTGCTTCAAACCGTGCGGGGTAGTCGAGCTCGCTCTATCCGAACTGCAAGTTGACGGCATCATTTTTGAGCGGTAACTACGCCTGAGCTGATTGGACGAATCGAACATTTGACGAGCAGTACGATTATATGCACCAATGATTGGAGGTGGACACCGTAGCCGCGTGAGCAGAGTACGATCTGCTTTTTTAATCACTGTTCATTCTTCCTTCAACGTATCAAGGGGATTGCGCCATCCTTCCTGCCTTCTGCCAATCGCCGTAAGAAATCTCGAAGGGCATCCACGCCACTCAGGCTAATTTGAGAATGAACAACAGGTACATTCGACGCACCCTCATGCGCCAGTGGGTATGCAAAAGCCAGCGATGTTTCTGATCACAACGTGCCACACCAACTTCGTTGAGATTACGTGAGCAGCTTCTTGTAGTATTGATGGCTACCCTTTCAATCCAAACTTGAAGCGTAGTATTTACGGCATCGTTTTTACGGTAATGACATCCGAGTTCATGATACGAGCAGCTTGATTAAAAGACCTACATGATTTATTTGTGGAAATCACATACATCAGGGTGCAAGTAGAATAAACTCCGATGAATCAACACTTTTGACTCTACCTTCTCTTACTCGAGTCGCCTACACTTCCTGTGAAGACTTCCTTCGTCCTCTTCAAGCTTCCTCAACAAAGTCACATACCATGTGTCATTCACCAATGTCAACAAGACAAAGATTCTCTCATTGCACTCGTTGCCTTCATCACAATGTTTCAGTGGGCATTGATCAATGATTTCAAGCTGCACGAGCAGCGTGGATCTTTTCCATAGTAGTATGTACGCTTATGCTGGTACAGCTAGCTCCCCACGATGTGTACTCCAACTTACCGCTATCTGTGGAGTATCGAGATTCGCGCTTGTTACTGAAGTATCTATTTACCGGCCTTGACCGTAGCCGTCTTCTTTCTTTGTTGCTCGATATGGGCATTCATCAACACCTTTCAATGTAATGCACCCGCCGTCCCGTGATACTCAGCCAGGTTCAACATAAAGCTATCTGAAATCTTCGGATCACACGGATCAAGCAGATCGCCACGTCTTTCTCCATTTCGGTGTCCATGCTATTCATCTTGGCGGCGGCGTTTGAGAGTTTGTTGCAATGTTTCTACACTTGTCATCCACCCATTCGTTCGTACCGAATATCTGTCTCATGTTATATAGAGCTACCTGCTTCAAACCGTGCGGGGTAGTCGAGCTCGCTCTATCCGAACTGCAAGTTGACGGCATCATTTTTCACGGTAACTACGCCTGAGCTGATTGGA